TCCTGGGGTAGCACAGCTCTGGGGTGGCTCAGTCCTGGGGTGGCTCAGTCCTGGGGTGGCTCAGTCCTGGGGTGGCGCAGCCCTGGGGTCCCTCTGCCAGGCTGCGAGGCAGGGGAAGCGGAGGGGCCAGGACTCACTGCAAATGACCGTCCTGATATCCCATTTCATCGTGGGCTGCACTTAGTGGCACGTCAGGAAACTCGTTTCCAGCAGCGAGGGCTCTTTCCCGTCCACTTGTGGACATGTTGAAAGATCACACATACGTGCTCAGTGAAGTCACCGCCGATTGCGGGGAGTCAGCGGCAACAGCTGGTGGGTCCGAGTCACCCGGAGGCGATTTAATCTCTTGGCCTCCCATTGGGAAAGCAGTTTGAAGAAGGTAAAGACTCCGTTAAAAAACAATAATAATAATTTTTTTTTTTTTGAAGAAAGAAAGAACAGGAACAAAAAGAGAAATTGTGTGGCTTGAGGCAGCTGCCGCTGTTCCTAAAACACGAAGAAAGGAGGCGGGAGGGGCCTCACCCGCGGGCGACACAGGGAGGCTTGTTATCAGCCGCCGGGTGGCCAGCACCGCGTCCTGGGAGAATACCCTTCCTTTGTGGAATGAGATACCACAGGATGCCGACTCCCGGCAGGCCAGCCCGGCGTCTGGGACGGGCCCTCTGATCTGGGATGCCTGTGCTCACTCATAACAATGTCAGCACGGCTCAGGAGATGAGTAACAGGAGAGGGACAATTAGCAGGCCAGAGCACCCTGGAAGGGTCATTAAAGGCTTGGGAGACGCAGGCAGCAGCGCGGCCCAGCTGTCGAGCACGTCAGCGAGGGGTCTGGGGGAACACCCTCCGAGGAGGCCAGCGGCTGTCACCCCGACTGCTTCCACCACACACCCACCCTCAGGGCCCGTCCCCAAAGCAAAGCGAGAGAGAGAAGAGGAGTGTGGAGGCCCCTGGTCTCACTTTTCCCCATGAACTTAGAGGTTTACATGTTTAGCTAGAATTTCACGATGGTGCTTTTGTGCACCAGGCAGTTAAAGAAACCATCCTGCGGGGGGAAGCTGAGTTCCCTCCGGGACTGGGGCATTTGTGAATCAAAAGGATCGGTGACCAGGAGATACCACTTCCTCTACTACAATGAATGAGATTGGAACTCTGCTGTCATAGTTTACTGACCAGCTCCTAAAGCTTTTCTACACAACATTCACAAAAATAAAAAAGAGGTAATGTGCCCTGGCCGGTTTGGCTCAGAGGTTAGCGCATCGGCCTGCGGTCCAGAGAGTCCCAGGTTCGGTTCCCGCTAAGGGCACGTACCTCGGTTGCAGTTTGTCCCCGGCCCTGGTTGCGTTGTGTGAGTGGCAGCCACTCGATGTGTACCTTTTACATTAATGTTTCTCTCTCTCTCTCTCTCTCTCTCTCTTCCTCCTACTCTATCTGAACAAAAAATAGAAAAATGTCCTTGGGTGAGGATAAAAAAAAAAAAGGTAATGTGCCTAACCTTGAGAAACTCAATAGTAACAAGGTGGAGAGAGTCACAAAAGCAGGTGATGACATCACAGTCCAGTGTGTGTCACGGTGCAGTGTTGTGCCCGCTGTGAACACGAGACCGGGCACAGGATGGATGAGGTGCGGGCTCAGCGGGGAAGCAGAGAAGAGGTGGGGGACAGAGGGCACCATGAGGAAGGGCAGGTTAAGGTGCAGAGTGGTCTTCTTGCCACAGTTTGTTTGCATCTGTGCCTGGGTGGTCCTTCATTTCTCCTTATACACCTGTTCACAGGTGAGCTTTGCACTTTTCCCTTTTCCCCAACCTTCCACCCCTATGTTTCTCATTCTTGTTACCTGCCTATTTGTGTCTACACCAGTTTTGTGCGTGACTGCGGAGAGCTTCGGCCGTGTTTGCAGTGTGTCAGTCCACCCGTCGCTCACGTCCTAGCCTTCCTCAGCCTCCCTCTTTCTAAGCTGATCCTTGAACTCACGGGCCAGATGTTTTCGCTTCCATGCATTTTTGCTCACTGATGGGAAGAGAAGAAATTCGGTTGTGGAAGGCGCTAATATAAAAGAGTGTTCATCTTTTTTTTGGTAAATATTTTCGTAGTGGCATATCCAGGGCTTTGAAACAACTTTTCACTAACAACTTGTTACTGACTGTTTGAATACTCAAGTCATTTCTACTTGAAGGGTACAGTAGGAAAGTCGTAGTTGGGGTGATCGTGTTTTTTGACTGGATGCTGTAGGAGATTTTGCTCACTTTGTACCTCTCGTAAGCTCTTCCTTTCAGAAATGTATCCTCCACTATTGCCCTTGTCAGTTATATGGCCCACAGAGTTAAGACCATAATCCAAATGGCTCAATCAGAATATCTCATTTTCCTGACCTCAATGATTTGCTTAGGCATGAGGACATGACAGAGTCCCCGGACAAATCAAAGCCCTCCTGTGATGTTTTCCTGAAACCACTGGGCAAAAAAGACAATCTGGATGATCTGAAAGTGCTAACAGCATGTGAAGAACTCTGGATGGTAATCTTAGACACTGTGGAAAAGACAGAAGGGGGAATAAAGCTAATATATAACACAGAGGTGGGACAGGGGAAAAGAGAAATAGAGTGAATACTTTTTCCCTCCCTGAAGGAGCTAAAAAGCAGAACTACCGTTCTCAAACTTCCCAGTTATGTAAATCTATTAACTCTGATGTTTTGTTGCTAAAATTAGTTTCCATAGAGTTTGTGATTCTTGCAACCAAAAGCTTTGTTAAAAAAATTCAGTTGTATAGACATATGTCACCTGATACATTGATGTTAATAACCTCTAAAATATAAATAGAGATTTACCAGACTACAATAGAAAGAGCTTGATTATACAGTAAAAATAATAACAATAAAAGATATGGTTGGGGCATTACATGATGATAAATGTTCAATCTACCAGGAAAACATAGCAATTTTAAATATACATGTACCAAACAACAGAGTCTCAAAAGACACAAAACAGACAAATGCACACTATAGTTGAGGACACTGACACTCCACTCATAACAAATAACAGAATGACTAGGCTGAAAATCAGCAAGGATATGGAAATGAACAACATCATCCACCAGCAGGATTTAGTTGACATGTTCAGAACAATTCACCCAACAATGCAGAATATACATTTTTGTAAGCATCCATGGGACATTTACCAAGATACACATATCCTGGAATAAAACAAGCCTTAACAAATTTAAAAGAGATGAAGTCATATGGAGTGTGTCCTCTGACCATAATAAAATCAAATTAAAACTCAATAACAGAAAAGCAATGGGAAAAAAAATCTCAAAGTACTAAAAAGTTAAGTAACACACTTCTAATAATTCATGGGCCATGAAGAAAGTCTCAAAGAAAAAAAATTAAAAATATATAAAACAACTGAAACACAACATATCAAAAAATGTGGGGAGCATCTTAAGCCATGCTGAAATGGTAATTTATAGCACCTAAAAGGGAAAAAGTCTCAAGTCAATAACCTAAACTGTTACCTCAAGAATCTAGAAAAGGAGAAGCAAAATAAACACAAATCAAGCATAGGGAACAAAATACTAAGGATACGAACGGAATTAAATGCAATTGAAAACAGGAAGACAGTAGAAAAAAAATCAATGAAACAAAAAGCTGGTTTCTTCAATATAGTTAATAAACTTCTGGCAGGACTGAATAAGACACAAAATGAAAAGACACAAATCACCATATCAGGCATGAAACAGGGAACATTACTATAGATCCTACAGCCATTGACAGGATAATATGAGAGTAATACAAATAGCTTTATGCTTATAAATTTGACAGCATTGAAGAAATGAACCAGCTTCTCAAAAACCACAAACTACCATCAATCAACGAAGATGAAATAGTCTCTGAAACGCTCTACAACCACCAAAGAAATTTAATTTGTAATCTAAAGCTCCCCAAAAGTCTCCAGACTTTTTTCATTGAAAAAATCTACCCAACATTTAAATAAGAATTAACACCACTTTTTCAACACAATCCCTTCCAGAAAAATAGAAAAAGAAACTCTTTCTAACTCATTTGATTGATTTTTAAAATTTATCCTTATTGTTGAAAGTATCACAGATGTCCCTCTTTTCCCCGATTGACACCCTCCTCCCCACTCTGCCTCCCTGCCCCCACCTTCACCAGGCTGTTGTCTGTGTCCACTGGTTACGTGTACATGCAAATAAGTTCTTTGGTTTATCTCTTCCCACCCCCTCACCCCACTTCCCTCTGAGGTTTTTCAGTCTGTTCCCTACTTCCATGTCTCTGGATCTATTTTGTTCATCAGTTTAATTCATTCATTAGGTTCCACATATAAGTGAGATCATGTGGTACTTGTCTTTCTCTGATTGGCTTGTTTCGCTTAGCATAATACTCTCCAGGTCCCTCCATGTCATCCCAAAGGGTAAGAGATCTTTCTTTCTTACAGCTGCATGGTATTGCATTGCCTACATGTACCACAGCTTTTTTATCCACTCTCTACTGATGGACACTTGGGCTGTTTCCAGATCTTAGCTATTGTAAATAGCACTGTTATAAACACAGGGGTGCATATATTTTTCCTGAGTTCTGTTTCAGGCTTCTTAGGATATATTCCTAAAAGTGGGATCACTGGGTCAAATGGCAGTTCCATTTTTAATTTTTTGATAAAACACCATATTATTTTCCATAGTGGCTGCACCAGTCTGCATTTCTAGGCAAGACCCTGACACTACACCAAAACATAACTGCACACACAAGAAGACGACTACACGTCAATGTCTCTCATGAATTTAGATATAAAAATCCTCAACAAATAAGTGGAGCATATTCCATGTACGTAAGACATGGTTCAATATTCAAAAATCAATCAATGTGATCTACCAGGTCAACAGGCTAACGGGGAAAAGGCATATGATCATATCAGTTGGTACAGAAAAAGTATTTGACAAAATCCAACACCCATTCATGATTTAAAAAAAAAAAAATTTCTCAGCACACAGGAAGAAATAGGAGGAAATTACCTTAATACAATAAAGAAAATATACAAGAAAACGTCAGCTAACATCGTATTTCAAGACTGAGTGCTTCCCCCTGCGATCAGGAACAAGGTAAAGGTGTCTATTCTCACCATTCTCATCCAACAGAGCCCTGGAGGTTCAAGCCAACTCTTCTTTGATTTGAGTCTAAAACAGGCCTTCTGTTAACAGTAGGTTTGGGAGGCCAGCAAGGGTCACAGAAGAGACACACACACATCTGGAAAATGAAAAGAGAGGAGAAGGTTTGAGCAAGGACCCACACACCAGAAAGGGCCTTTGAATCCTTTCTCTCTTCTACTAGGTAAGTAACAGAGACATGGAGTCCATGTCCCAGGTTGCATGTCCCACCCCCAAGCTCCCCACCCAGCTGCCTTTTAGCCACAGCAGCAAAATGACTTTCGACACAGCACAGTAGAACCCATGCCTCCTTTTACCTAAAGAGCAACTTCAGTTTTATCAGCCCAGCTGGGGCTTGTTTTTGCATCTGCAGAAAGATAGGAAACTCTCAAACAGGAAGTCGGGCTAGGGTTACGCGGACAATGTAACTTTACTCATGACTTCAGAGCAGAGGAATGTTCCATTGCTAAACTGCATTGCTACGAGCAAGCTTGAAATATAAATATTGGCATATATAGAAACTATATATTGGCTTCCACATGCATATAGGTTTAAAATACATATTGGCTTAAATATGTATATATTTTGTTTAAGCCTGTTTGGCTGCTTGGGGCTGGTTCTGACTCTTCAATCTGAGTGTTTTCTTTGTTCTTTCTGAAGACAAGTCTTTCCCTCGTGGAGGGAAGCTGTCCCCTTCTCTCGTCCTCCTGACTCAGTGCCGACCTGCAACCCTTTCTGCACCTTGCGGCCAGGTGACCCCCCAGGACACAAATGGGATCAAGTCATTTCCCGGCTGATACAATTGCTGGTGTTCCTCGCCCTCGACCGTGACACTGAAAGTGTACGACGTGGTCAGGAGCCAGCCCAACAACGTTGTTTCTGTCCGTAACAAGGTACGTACAGACGTCAAGGGCGAGGGTCTGGAAACTTTATAGACCTTTGACCCTGCCATGTTCTCCAAGAGTGTGGTGAGTGAACTTGTGTCTCCGAGCAGGATCAATGCAGGGTGTTGCTGAACTCACACTGAACTCACACTCTGAGTCATCTGTGGCACAAGCCCCATAGTCCTGAGTCTGGGAGAGATGGGGGGGGGGGGGCATAACTGCTTCTTCAGCACAGACAGTTTAAGAAGCATGGCGCTCCAAGATAAAGTCCAAGGACTCCCCCCACCCCCAAATCCTTCATTATCTGGTTTATGGCTCTGGTTCTTCCAACATCTTCTAGAACTGCTGTATCTTCCCCCCTGTCAACCTCCTTGACACTTCTCCAAATACTGTGTACATGTTAATTATTTTTTCCAAAATGCCTTTCTCTACCTTGTCTGTCTGGAGACTTTCTCTCATCCTTTCCAGTTCTACTCAAACAGCTTCTGTGAACCTGTTTCAATGCCATTCAAATCCCCAGCACGGACACCCCTCCTCAGAGCCTTCCATGCTACTCTGTACATTCATCCAGAAGCAATTCTTTGCGGTGTCAAATCCAGGGTGACTAGAATAAGACATCCTCCTGTCACCAAAAGATACCCAGTCCCTTGACTGTTCTACGTATTATCTCCTCCAGGACAGTGGCCATGTCTTTTTGTGTTTTTTTTTTCTTTATTAATTTGAGAGAGAGAGAAAAGAAGAGGGAGAGAGAGAGACATAGAAACATCGATGAGAGAGAACATCAATTGGCCGCCTCCTGTATACTGCCCACTGGGGATCGGGCCCACAACCTGGGCATGTGCCCTGACCAGGAATCGAACCAGCGACCCAACCACTGAGCCACACCGGCTGGGGCAGTGGCCATGTCTTAAACACCTTTGTGACTCCAGAGCCTCCATGCCATGAACACGGTGGGAACGGAGGGAACGACACATCTGGAATTAAGGTTGATGATAGCGCGTGAACCATACAGAAGTACTGGGAAATACTGTACCCCCTCAGTTAACCTGTCTGGGACTTCATTTCCCCTTCATCACAGTTAAGATTTCAACACCTACCCTTTCTCTGAAGCTCAAATGTTCTCTCCAGAGCCAGAGAAGTCCTAGTGAGGCAGGACAGTAAGAAGCCCGAAAAATCCCTGCGCAAGTGGAATGGGAAAACCGAGACGAGAAATTAAACAAGGCAAAACAATCTGAACACTGTACAGCCCGCTAGTGAATCGTAAGACCTTCCCTTTCCCAACAAGGACAGTGGAGAGCGAATGGTTTATACCGCTCCTCCCTAGCCAGAGAATACGTAGCTTAAATCACCCCGGCCAGGGAGACAGAGGACAGAGGCCTAATTAATGTCATGTGTGCCAGCCAAACCCAAGGGCGGATGAAGTCCGGGGAACAAAAACCTCATTAACGCCAGGCAGACCCAAGATTCAAGCGAAACAGGAAAGCACACCAAAGAATAACCCCAAACTCCCCACCACGCTCCTTTTGATGCGTCAGCATATGCAGAACATACCCGGGAAAGCTGAAGAACATCTACAGAAGCCCTTGCCTGAGATGCTGGCCCAGGAAGGAAGAGGGGGACTCCCAGGACGGGGACTCGGAGCGGGCTCACGCCACAGCACGCCCGCCCGTGTTGGCATGAACGTTCTACGCCCCCCGAACTCGAGTGATCCCCACAACTCTTGCAACCAGGGGCCCGGTGGGCAGCGGCAACTTGTCCCGAGCTTCCCCCCAGTTCTTTCCCGAGGGCCCCCTTCCCCCTGACTTCCCAGCGAGCTCACAGCAGCCCCCCACTTGGCTCACTTTCCCACAACATGTCCAGAGAGCCGAAGCGGAGCAGCGCCTGATGCTCCTGCTCCTCCTCCACCCGAGCTGCTTCCTTCGTTTCGCCACCCGCCGCCTCCATCAACGTCCTCTCACAATCACCTGGACGTGTGTCGGGAGAGCCCACGCCCTCAGGACGGCCTGAGGCAGGCCCGCTCTGGGCCGGACCTGTCCGGTAGCGGTATCCTCGGACCCGCGTCCCTGTAGATTTCCCCGCGGACGGCCCGTGGGCCTCCGCCAGTTCCTGAGTCCAAGCCCAGAGGCCGCACCCACAGGAGTGCGCGCGGCTTATTTCCCGAGACTTTTCTCCGGGCCTTGATCAGCACTGCATCGCTTCTGGACAGGCCTTTCCGCAGCTTGTCGACTTCTCTTGAGCCAGGTCATCCAGATAGAAACACAGGGATTTTAAGTTTGCATTTTAATTGGCTGACTTCTCCAGGTGTCGCTGGGCCCTTGAGGCGGTAGGCATGTTTCAACACAGTCATGGCACATGTCCCCAGGCTGCAGGAGAACATCCGACAGTCACTCACACATAGAGCAGACCTGGAACATCTCGAGTTAACGATATCAAGCCGGAAATGGGCGGGCCTTGTGGGTAATTAAGTCCACATGGGTCTCCATTGAATCTACTGAATTGAGCAAAGTTGATATTTTTCTTGTCTTCACTGCCTCTCTGTGTAGACCAGGTTTCCCAAAGGTATAGCTTGACATACACATTGTCCCTTGGGTTCTCAGGTCATATCCAAGTCTCCCATCCCCACAAGGTTTCAACACAACAGAAAATGTTTTCTAGACTTGATCCAACATCCAATTCTTGCTTTTTTTAAATCCTCAGTCAAGGACATTTTTCTTTTTGTTGTTGTTGTTGTTGTTCAGATAGAGTGGGAGGGGGAGGGGGGAGAGAGAGAGAGAGAGAGAGAGAAACATCGATGTAAACGGGACACATCGAGTGGCTGCCACCCACACGACCCAACCAGGGCTGGGGACAAACTGCAACCGAGGTACATGCCCTCAGCGGGAACCAAACCCGGGTCTCTCTGGTCAGCGGGCCAATGCTCTAACCACTGAGCAAAACCAGCCAGGGCCCAACATCCAATTCTTGATTTGGAATCAACGAAGCCCATCGGACCCAAATCTGCCATTGCTCCTGTTTAATATTGTGGACGAGTTGGTGTCATTGTCCCCGAGTCACGGCAGCATCATGAACAGTGGGCACGTCCCGTTGCTGCCTTCCTGGAAGAGTCAGCACCGAGCTCTGAGGGCACGTCTCCCCTCTGAGCCTCCCTCTTGTTCAAAGCACGCATCCCCAACCCTCCTCCCCTGGCTGGATCCGAGTCACCCTGCGGATCCCAAATCAGGTAACACTTCCATAGGCCCCCCTGTGTCCCCCAAGCTGGGCCAAATGGCTTTCTTTCCTGCTGCCCTAGTGTCCTTGAAAACCTGCCTTTGAAAGCCAGGTGGTAGTGACCCGAGGTCAAATCACTCCCGGGGGAACAGAGCAAAGCGAAGGCCCTGACCTCCCCAGAAACATTCAGACTGGCCCGGATGGAAGATCGGACATCGCCATTGCCTCAGACGATTCTTCTCAGGTGTGCTCAGTCGTGTCAGAACCGGCAGTAAGACGGCCAGTAAGACGGCCAGTGATGCTGCGAGTGAATTCCTCCGCAATCGACCTCCCTGGCAAAGTCCCCGTCAGATAAAAAGCCTCCAAGAACTCCATGAAGAGTGTTTTCTGAGGTTTCAGACATCAATCCATCCTCTATAGCACCTCTTTTTTATACTGCCTCCCCTCATCCCCAACCCCCCAAAACACCTCTCTATGAATTTGACATGTGAATCCTTGTAGGCAATTGTTACGTCCAAGACCACGGGAGAGAAGGGTTCTGCTGTACCCAGGGGCCTGCCCCACATATTAGTGTTTGCAAAACAACACGCCCAGCAGGAGTTCCCAGAGAAGGCTGCACACCCAGGAGGAAGGAGATAAAGGTCTGAAAACTCAGTTTTAATTGCATGTGGATTTGGGAAGCCTGTTTTGATTAACAACTAATGCTGTAACGGCATATCCCTTACAATTTAATGAAAAGGATTTTTTATTTTCCTCCTTAAGAAAGTGAAAGAGGGAGTCAGATATCTCTGCAACACCTCCCCCCAACCTCCAAGCAATAACTGGATTCATGCCAGCTGAGGAATTTGAATGCCCAGTCTGTTGGACAGAAATCAACTTGCAAAGGGCTCTGGCGCCCTCTGCTGGCCATGGGTGCAGAGAGTGAGCACATAGGAAAGGATTCCTGATCACAGGTTAGACTTGATCTGTTCCACCTCACTCATTTAAAGATGAAGAAGTCAGAGCTGAAAAGCCTCACTCAGAGAAGTCATTTAACTCGTTAACGGAACTTGTACTGTGGTCTGAGGAACACCCTACCCTGCCAGAACACCTGGTTTTTAAATACTATGCTTTTCCCTACTAGCACGTCCTTGAACACGTTATCCACCTGTCTCCCGTCTCTAAAAGAAAAGAAAAATTAAGATCAAATGGTTTGAACCCTGGCCGGTTTGGCTCAGTGGTTGGAACGTCGGCCTGTGGTCCAGAGAGCCCCAGGTTCGGTTCCCGCTAAGGGCATGTACCTCGGTTGCAGTTTGTCCCCGGCCCTGGTTGGGTTAAGCGGGTGGCAGCCACTCGATGTGTCCTTTCACATGGATGTTTCTCTCTCTCTCTCTCACTCCCACTCTAGCTGAACAAAAAATGGAAAAATGTCCTCGGGTGAGGATTAAAAAAAAAAGATCAAATGGTTTGAAAAAAATTTTAAAAGGTACCATTCATTGAAAAATATTATTTACCTGGTAGTTTCTAGCTTCGGCATCATCAAGGTTGCCTGGATAATGAAGTCATAAAGGCTGATGGGTTCCCCCTCCCTATTTTCTATTCTACGAGTTTGTCTAATAAGTGGAATAGCAGATGCCAATTCTTTGGTTAAAGTTATAAAAATAACTGTGCTCCTGAACACATTTGCTCTATGCCCACATTTATAGCAAATTGCAATCCATATAACTTTAGAACTAACTAAAGTACAGGTGTGGTGTTAATTACCAACGCTCCTTCCCAATTTACCAGGATACCGACCGCCCTGGACAAA